GATTGTTTTGGTTAGCGTTCTCAAAGTATGTTTACTCTGCCCGGGTCAGTTGTCCCGTAAACCCAAACATGCCAACCAATAGTTTATTTATGAGCGTGAACTTACTTTACAGAAGACTGGTTTAACTGCTTTTTGGAGTAAATAACTGCAATGTAAATAACGCAGGGAGGTGGGTTGCGACCTCTAACTTTCTCAGCAGGGGACAAAGTCAGAGACCGCAGCTAGAAAGGTGTCCTTCCAATGTTGTCAGTCATCATCGATACACGATTGCCCCTGGTTGGAATTTTGATCACTTGGGAGAGATGGAACTGATTTGTTAACGATGTCCAAGTTGTATCTGGGTAGAACGCAGTCACTGTGATTACTATTTCTGAGGTTATAGTGTGGATTGGCAATACTAAAGAGGTTTGCTATTTTATTTGGGGTAATGTTACCATTCACTTTATACATAAAGATAAGAAATTTATTTTATATTGAATAAAGGCTAAAAGTTTCTAAAGGTAATTTGGTTATATCAACTAAATTGAAATTGTAAATTAACCACCATAACGAATAAAAAAGCTGACGTTTCGAGCATTAGCCCTTCGTCAGAGCGAATGGAGGAATTGTGGGTTGCATGTGGGTTTATATGCAGAAAGCGCAGCTACGCTATTGGGGGGAACATAGCGACGAGAAAAACACGAATAAATTAGTGGAATGAAAAGTGTTCGTTGATGCCTGTGGGATTAAGAGTGCGAATTTGAAAGATAAACTTTTGTTCAAGAGTTTTGCGGTTTTCCGTGTTACCCAAATGCAAGGAAAGATCGCTGGTTGGCATATGTTGTTTAGAATGATTAGGTAAATTAAAGTGTCTAGCGACTGGTTTTGATGCGTCCTTGTCATTCCTTTCTACGTCGCGAAGGTGTTCTCGGAATCGGTCACCTAGTCGTCTTCCTGTTTCGCCGATGTATAACTTTTTGCAATAAGTGCAAGTTATGCAATAGATTACGTTGGCGGAGGTGCACGTGAAGTGATCGGTGATCTTAATGGATCG